CTAGGGGAAGCAGAAGGGGAAAACGAGGGGTTTTTATCCTTTTTGGGTATAAGCGCATTTCGCGGAGTCGTACACGGCAACAGGCGCGAAAAGATGGTACCAGAGCGAAGGTCTTCGGTTTTACTGCTTAGCTTGACCATCCAGTTGTCTCCAAAGAGCTCCCGCTGAATCTATTGATAACAAACAAAATCACGCAAAATCTGGTGAGGAAGAAGCAGCAACGGTTCGAAACGAAGCCGTTCACTACACATGGGTGCGGCTTATACTCCAAAAAATAGGGTAACTCCCCGAAAATGTTTATAACTTCTGTTGGAGGGAAGCCTGTAGCCTTGTTGGTTCCTAGTAACGCCGAATACAGAAGTAAGTGCTGTGTCGAAACGGAAGGGGCAAACAACTTTTCGGATTCTTTTTTGTACTTTCATTGGTGAAACTCTGTGATTTCAGGAGTTGTATAGTGCTGACACGCAAGAGCAAGAGCAGATCATGAGTGATCCAGAACTTCGCCACACTAGGGACGTGCATTCTTCAGTTAACAAATGTAAAGACAAATTCAGAACATTGAGACGGGCCTACAATAAGCGCAGTACAATTTCAGGCATTCTCAACCGGCCTACTCCACCACGAACATCCGATGACGTGAGTCTTGATCTTGATGTAGGAGATGTGCAAATGAATGTCGATCGGTCACACTAAAGTGGAAAAAAATGCCTTTTTTAACACAGTAATGTCCTTTTGACAAATGTTTAAACGCTTCAGAATTTTGGTCCTGCGGTATATTAGGAGAGGACTGCTCCGCTCATCACTTGAAGGTATTTCCTCACTTCTCAGTACTGTTACATTCCTCTTTACAAATTCATCTGGTTGTTATTCAGATATGAGACTGATTCTTTTGCTCCTCATCCTCACTGTGTCAACCCAAGCAGGGCTGCTGGATGCAGGCAAAGTAAAGGAATTCTTCAAGGGGAAAGTTCCTTCTATCTTCGAAAAAGTCAAGGAAAAGAACCATGACGAAGTTCAAAAAGGTGAGTGCTAAAGGAGATTTCGTGAAAAAAAAACGTAAAGAAAACGTGAAGATGAGCTACCATTGAAGCTCTTCGAAAAAACTGGCATCCTTACACTTGGAAAGAAGCTGACCGAGGTGAGAAGCAAAGTCATGAAGAAGCTCGAACTCTCAAAGGTTAAGACGGCAGAGATCCAGGAAAAGCTCAAGGTAGGCAGGTTGCTCTCAACAGAGACAGTCAAATGAGTCAAATAACTGATGGTACAAGTTGTTAAGGAAGTCGAAGCGAGAAGAGATGATTCTATTGATAATGAGGAAGACACGATATTCGCGATTAATGAGGGCCAAGAACGTAGGCAGGGAGCTCTTCCAGAGCGATATCCTCTTGACCAAGTGGGTTACACACTTATTTTTCGTAAATAAGCAACATGGAGTCACTCAAGTAAAACTACTTGAAGGCAGCGGGCACGATCGTTGGAGGCGGGCGGTTGTTGCCAGCGTCATTGGTGGAAGGGCTGCGAGAGGGCGTTTGGCCACACCCCACTCAGCCCTTCCACCGGTGACGTTGGTAACTACCATGCGCCCCCCCCCCCCCCCCATCCTGCCCACTGCCTTTGATGAACCAACTCAAAACTGGACTGGGTTTCTTCTATTTCGCAGCTGCTGAACCGCATTCAAGTAAGACATTTCCTTCGAGCCGCTAGTTGAGGCGAGAGGCTTGTGCGTCTAGACTCGAACTTGTAGACACTGAGCGCGTCAGTGGGAGAGTTGGTTCGGTTTGGCGCGGCGCTACCCAGTTATGCACCAATTGTGGTCGCCTGCCAGCTTCGCCAGCTGGTGGAGAACGGTGCCGCGCCAAGCTCAGTCCTCCTGAGCATCCTCAGCATCCGCAGCGATATGTATATCGTGTTTGCTTTCTTATTTGTTTACTTTTTCGGTCTTTTCATACCGAGAAAACACGGCAAATTAGCAAGTCACTAGATGGAACGCTTTGTTTTCAGGAGGCAGTTACAAGACGTTGTGGAAAGTATCGATGA